AGCCCCCCCCCCCCCACTTATCGATCTTTCGACGCCTATGCAAAAAACTATTTTTGGTCCTTGAATTTGCTGGAAATAACCTTGAAAGCCCTGAAAAAGTTCTTGAATTTCTAGCCTGCGTAGCAGGTAGTAGGCCTTTCAGTATAGACAGGCGAAAGCGGGAAGCTTGAAATACCTTGAACTGTTTGTGCTAGTGTAGGAGGTGCCAATAATTATGAACACGCTTTCGTTGGTAGGAATGCAACTACCTGAAAAATATAAGGAGAATTTCGACGTTTCGAGCGAAGGCCCTTCGTCTGGAATTACTAGCTGGGGTCGAGAAAATTACATGAGCTTTGTTATAAGGATATAACAGCGATCACGTGTCAAAAATAAAGCTGTCAGATGGATTTTGTCAAAACAAAGTATAAACAAAATGTAAATCACATTACAGAATATATTAATACAAATATACAACAAATATATTTTGCTGTATTGTCCTTATATTTTTCAGTTAGTTGCATCCCTATATCAAGGCAAAAGCTTGAAATATAATACCGCCTGCGCAAAATCCTCATATTCTGAATTTCGCCCCCCACCCAAATGTCTTTACTAAACGGTTGATACTTGGCACCCAGTACAAAAATTTGCTTCGTAATTGGTTTTGGTCAGTTTCGATGACTTGGTGGGGGTAAAATCGCCAGCAAATTACGATAGTTGAACTAACTGCCGAAAGACAATGCTCGCTGCCATCACCTCCATAATATCAATATCTATATAAATTCTTCAAATTCATGCATGCAGCAACCCCTCGCCTATACTTCTAAACATTGATTAACATAAAGTATTAGACATTTGGCCGAACAAGGAACGGAGGCTCGCGTTGCGCGTAAAATGTTGCCATAGTAACACAATCATATTTAATTTTTCAACTATATTTATTTTGTACAAAATGGCAAAAATAATTGAAAGATTAGACATTAGTATTTTTAACTATATGTAAGAATGAATTTCAGAAATATATACTCCCATATTTTATGAGCTTTGATCACAGGCAACCGTCAAATATATGTATTGACCTAAAAAAGTTAAATGCTTAACCATGCGCATGAAGTTGGTCTGACTTTGATATCAAGCGATTGTTTGGGTAGCTCATTATGTATCGGCTTATTGTTTATTGGTTGCTTTATATAATATAATGATAGAGATCTATGGTAGAAATATAACTGTTGTGCTTGTCTTTCCCACAGGCCAAGTCATCAATATTTGCCCAACAAGGGAGATTACAGCATCCAGTGGACAGATTACGTCGCCTAACTATCCCAGCAACTACACCTCAAACACTAGTTGTACTCTGACGATCAAACAACCCCTGGACACAAACTTTACTTTCACGTTTACCGACCTTGATATCGAGAGTGATGAAGACGGTAGGTAACGTAATTTGTCTTAAACTTTAGGGCCTGTTTATATCTGCGCGGCTGATTAGGAAACTTCCCCGACTGAGGACAAATTGATCAGTTTTGATAAAATTTGGATGAAAATTGGATGAGAAATAAGCAAATATTTGTCTTGCTTTGCCAGGCCTAATAAACTACATGCATTATAAAACCATTGTATAATTCATGCACGGTACATAACCTGGCGGTGGTATGCAGTCTCAGAGCGCCCTCTAGTTTACACATTATTAATCATTTAATATGTACAGTATCTACTTACATTACAGAACTTACCTGTTATGATTACCTCATTATATCTGGAGGTTCATCACAGACATTTTGTGGGACCATCACTCCGGCGCCATTTCTACCTGGCCTGAATGTCGTCACACTGGAAATGGTAACAGATGGTAATGTTGAGCAAAGCGGTTTTGATCTCAGCTTTACCACCGTTCAGAGTAAGCAATATTTTCGGTGTGTTCAGAGGCGACAAAGGGAAGTAAGGCCTGTTTTATACGTCGAATTTCGGTCGCGTCGAATGCAATTCAAACAATAGATAATGAAGCTTAATGAGGTTTATCATCTTATTACCTTTTGTCTTAATTGCATTCGACGCGACCAAAATTCGACGTATAAAACGGTCCTAAGGCGGCAGAAGAATGGTCGTAATTCGGGAGGGAGAGGCAATCCCAGCTCCTGTAAGTTATAATCCCTTAATATATTGAGGTTGCTAGTAAGGAAACATTCAGCAATAGCATGGCCGAAATTCCAGAGAAAAATTGGTCATGTCGCTGACCATTAATTACATGACACTGAGGGCTCAGTCAAAAATTCCCGGCATTTTGTTTTGCTTTATTTTGACTTATTTATGGCGACCACTGTTGTAAGATTACCACAGAAGTAACGAGTAAAAAATACAATTACTTCTCCGTAAAGGTAATTATTATAAATTCAAAACCTACCTCCTTCAAAAGTTGTTACGTTACAGATTACTTTTCACTTACAGTAGGTGATAATAAGATTGGACTACAACAGTATCAAAATGCACCTAAGCGACATAAAAAACAAGACGTATAATTGAACTGCGTTGAATTAGTTATTTAATTTAATTAAGTAGGGACACAGCTGAAGTGTCGCGGGTTACTTTCTTCAATTCAAAATGTTACTCGTTACCTTAAAAAAGGAATTAATTACTGAAAAATAAATCGAGAAGTAATTGGTAATTATTACAACATACATTGGTGGTTTAATAAGGCTCAAATTGTAAGTTTAAGTAGACTTTTAATTGTGCTTGAGTCAAGCAATATTTCTCTTGGGCCTGTAACCTTTTCTTGGTCTCGAAATCAAAACTTTGCCGATTGTTTCTTGAAATTATCTAGCAGTTTTCCTCATTAATTTTCAGTACAAGTCTATTTATCAGCTTTATTGGACAAATATAGTAGAAACAAGTTTAAGTCCAAAGGGGATAGCGCAAACGGGACAACGAGACCCATGCTAGGCGCACCCCCTCCAAAAAAGGAAGAAAAAAAAACCCAACCTAATTTACTATAAACAAATATATATTACATAACATGCATATTAAGAACGGTGGCAGGGGCAGTCTCTTGTGAGCGACCAAGTCAGCATGTATACAGTATTCTGCGCATGTTCACTGGGGCTATAGCTGTACGAAGACGAATAATTATAGTGATTTCTTCAACAGTTGTGAAATAATGCTTGAAAAGCTATAAAACTACGAATATCGAACATAATTAATGAAAAGAAACCTTAGTTTATAGATACTAGAGTTTTATTGGGGTTACACCAATAAACGGTCAATTTTAGAATACTTGATAAAGTTACTATCCTGTGGATAGCGCTCTGCCCACCTGTCGTACAATTTATTGGTATGGAAAAATACATCTATATATCTAATATCTATCACAAAATAATTTGATATATCATCATGTGTATACAGAATATTCCTATCTGCATTTTTTCTAGCAACTGGTTTACCACCAGCAGTGAGCGTGTGTCCGACCAGATCAATCATCCCCAGTGCTATTGGTCGTGTGCACTCGCCTGGATTCGCTGGTAACTATGGCGCCAATCTGAACTGTAAGCTTACCCTGAATGTGCCTTCAAATAAGGAAGTTGAAATTTCCTTCAACCATGCTGATATTGAATGTAAGTGTAAAACAATAACAATATATATTGTTATATAGCTAGGGTGAACACCAAACGTGATTGGTTGATTTGTGGTCACGTGTCTTCAGATAAATGCAATCAGGGCGCTAATGCAATGTATCCCGCCGACCAACAAGTAAAATATTGTTACCCGCCCCGACCGGATACGTACATAAATAAACAAAATGGCGGCACAACTAGCATAATTAGAAACCACGATTTTCCAAGTTTGTGTTCAAATTAAGAATGTAAAAGAGAAGAAAAATACACAACAGGGAACAGGATATGGTGCTGAAACCGTTTAAGTATAGGTTCTTTTAATTTTAAACTCGTGTACACTATAGAGCTTTTGTCACGAAATACAATTGTTGTATGAAATAATGTTGTTGAATGTTGACTTTTGTTTGTCGCTATATAACAAAACACTTAATTTCTGTCCCCTCGCGAAATAGTTAGTTTTGTTTTCCCTCGAATCTCAATGTTTCCCTCGACTTCGTCTCGGGAAACACTGCGACTCTCGGGAAAACAAAATAAACTATTTCCCTCGGGAGCAGACATTAACATTGACAAAATCACTTTAATTTAAATCACTTTGGTAAAATTTTCTGGTCAACCAAGAAATAACCCTTTTTAGGTATTATAGTTAAAACATGTGCGGCCAATCTTTATCTGATATAAAAACTTGTGCCGAAGTCGAGAGTTTGTATATCAGATCAAGATCGGATGCGAATGTTTTAACGTACTTAAAAAACGACCCATCTTTTGAGATCATTGGCGAAGTAATTTGAAAATAAACATTGTCTAATTTATTTGATAATAAACATCGCAAAGCTGAAGTTTATGTAAATCAGACAAATCTTTATATAATTTACAAACATTGATTAAACATTCATTTCTTTTTAATTTTCTTCATGGATTATTTTAAAATGAGTTTCTTAAGTGAATTTAATATTACTGCTTTCGATTCTTAACAGATGAAGTATAAAAACTCCACAAAAAGTATTAAGACCATTATAAACAAACTTAAAAATACAACTGTGCGCTAGCCTTAATAACGATAACATTCGCTGCAATTTCATGTATACCAGCTAGTGTCAGCTTGCATTAAAAGTAAAACACATTATCCACGAGCCAACGGCGCGGAACGCCGTTCCGGGCGTAAGCCCGGGGCGAGGGTACTAATTCCGCCCGGGTATTTACACCCGGCGAAACGAAAGCATTAGCGAAGTCTAAAGTTCATCAATGATCGCGGGCGTGGGTTACCGTGAGTGGTTCGGTGGGTGGTCATCTCACTGATCTCAAAATATGGCTGTTTGCCATGGAGTGAAGAGGCAACAAATATAAAAAATGCATGTCGTGATGTCGGAAAGCTTGGAAAATCGTTTCACATAACAAATTGTGAAATTGTTTACCATTTTTAAACGTGAACATTTATAAGAATTGATTTAGTATGAGAAATCCTAAAGTGTAGGGCAAGTTTGTTTCAATTGTTATGTATGTTCAAGTATTTCCTATGCATTGTTTGCGAACGTTTCTTAGTTAAATTAACCTTTGTAGAAGTTCATTATAAAAAAATGCAAATTATTTTCATTAGCGTCCTGTACGAAAGAAATTTATTTCCATTCAAAGTGCGAGTAATAAGTAGAAGCTTGAGTTGAAGAGTTTATATAAATATCGACAAGAAGCAGTTAGCGCTGATTTCAATTCACATTTAAAAACGTTTTACGTAGAGTTTCGTTTTGAAATTTACATTAAAATAAAGCCCACAGAAACCAAAATAATATACCTACTTTATATATTTTAGAAATTGATAGTTCTGTATGGGAAAGTACAAAACATGGACCCCCGGTCCATGGACCCCTTGTCTGGACCGGGTCCATGGACCCCTCTATGGACCCCTCCATGGGCCGCATTTTTCCAAATTTCAATATTACTGTTAAAGGCACAGTGCACCCAAATTCGCGCATGCGCATTGCGTTCAAAAACTTGAAAAACTTAATGTTGTAAATCAAGTTTTAAAAATCAAAATGGCGTCGTATATACAGTCTACAGTACTAATGGGTAAAGAAAGTTTTACGTGTTTAAAATCAGTTATATAATGATGTATATTTGTGCGAAATCAAGGCTAATAATTTGATCTCCGGATGTTCCGAATTATCACAGTTATTATGTATGCGAAGTGTAATTTGATACCCGTCTGTGCAGATGAAGCATCGAGCGGTATTGGCCGAATTTCACATTTTTACATGCGTTCAATGCTATGGAAAGCTCTAAAACTGACAGTGACGATAACTTGCGTTGTCCTACTGAGCCAGTGAGCCTGGCCCATCTTTTCAAGCGCCTGGAAGTGGTACGCACGGTGGGAAAAGACGTGGTTCTGGGAGGAAACGCCAGCGTGAGGGAGGCTACCTAGTACCTAACGAGAACGTACGTACGAAGTGCGATTTGGAAGACCATTTCCCTGCACAATGATGTCTATGACCTGTGGATGGATGTACAAGAAATTTATCAACTACAATGACAAGTCGAGTAAGCCATCATCAAGCAACATCAACTCGAAGGCAATTAAAAACATAAGTTTTAAATTCAGGTATTTATACTTTTTTCTCATACGTATGCCTTTTTAATACTCGCCTATGTGTTTTAAATTTATGAATGATATATACAGTGAACTGAATATATAATAGTTTATATACAAGATTTTAATACTACTGCATGTTCCTATTTTCTATTGTCACTGTAAATATTGGGCCTATAATTGGCCCTATTGGCTATACCCATCATAGAACTCATGGCGGTATTTGCTTTCCTAGTCCTTGCTACCATTTCATCTCGAATATTTTTCTTGTTTTATCTCTTGAATTATACTTTTATATGATTTATTACTTCATAAATTCCTATATGTATTGGGCCATTTAAATATATACCCCCCCCCCTATTGAGGGGTCGCTTAATAATCCCCTTAGGATATAAAAATTTAGGACCCCCTTGGGTGTGATTTTTTGAAGCTACCCATGGTTATATTTAAACCCCATTTAGGATATCATCTTTGCCCCCTTGGATATCAGTATGGAGTATGGAGCCGTCGTTCGAGTAAGAGAGCTAAAAGATGGAAACCAGTGATTGTTGAGGAGAAGAATTACTGAGCTACATTCCAATTCTGAGTGCTCATGTGTTGAAAGAGGCAAGCAAAGAGTTTCTGTAGAAAGTAAAACCATCCACATCTGATCAAGATCCAACAAAAATAGCCCTAACAATTGCCAGTCTACCTGCTCTGTCAACAGTGGATTTTGTAAAAGAACGTACCACAATATTTTAGATTACAGTAGATATACAACCTTTTCAGGCTTTTGATAATTACGTCATTTGGCCTGGGAGCCTTGCTCTCATGAATCGTGAGCCAATCACTTTGCATAATTTATTAATGAAAGCGAGGCTCCAAGACCAAAAAGTATGTGTGGCGTAATTATCGAAAGCGTGTATTGTCAGAACTACTGAGTACTTTGATAAAAAAAAAACAGTGCATAATACTTTCTCTGAAAAAATGTAAACAGTCATTTTAAATTGTTTATTTGTACATTCAACTAATAAATTTCTGGAATGATCTCTCTTGAAGATGACTACAATTTATTAGTGAAAACATACAAATAAACAATTTTGAGGATGTTTTTAAAATGCTTCCAGAGAAATTATTGTGCTGTATATAATTCTATGAGTTTGTGTCAAAGAAACTATGGGTGAAATTTCATATAAGGATCCCAAAATGACATCACATAGGGTTGTGTATGGGCTGGGTGAGAGTAAGGGTTATATTTTGGGATTCTTATATAAAACTTCATCTACAATTATGCCTCCACAATCAAAGATTTATGAATAAGGAGAGCAGATATATACAATTTCTATTTGTGAATGTACATAATTTATTTGTGCTATATTCAATAATTGATAAAATGGACAAATGTGAAATGCTGTCCATATCATAGAAACAAAATAACCATATTGTTCTACATAAAACCCTGACTGCCCACCCCCTTGACCCTCTAGGTCAAGGCATATCTCTATATCTGGTATGATGTCCATCAGGTGAAGGATGTTTTTCGAATTTTCCACACACGGCATGCATGGCTATGTATGTACTGACACACTGTCGATATGCTGCATGCCTCATCACTCTATTGTCATATGTTTGTGTAAACACATAGGTATCTGCCAAAACTTTATGGAGGTGGCCAATTTATCTGCGTCCAAGCAAATGTTTTGGAATGTGCAAGTGTTCCACTCTGAAACAATGTATTTCTTTATAGCACACCCTCTTTCTGTCTGTTGGCATCTCTGCAATATCCACATACACAGAATGGTGCATTTGACTCCTCAAATTATTACACTGAATCATGCTGTAGCTGCTCCACCAAATCTTTTAAAACTAATGCTCTGGACTTAAAACCCTCCTTTGCTACTTTTACAAGAATCTTGTTATCCAAACCATCAATTATCTCCTAAGTAACAAAGACAACTAACAGTTACGATATATTATATAAAGGCACTTGAGTTCACACATACAAAAATTCTGTACCAATATTTCTTGACCTTGGTATGGTACGACCCCTTTGAATCATTGTTTATTCATAAAGATTAAAGCATCATACATGATATAACGTATGCATTCATCACTGTATAAATATGCAGCTTGCTCTGAATATCAAGATCAAATCAAATACAAATATTCAAAATCAGAGAAACTCATTGATATTTCAACTCAAATACAGTACATACCTTTTATATATTTTTACATTACTCCTCGCACCACAAGTGCATGCGCTTCCTCTGCAATGACAGCCAGTCACTTTTCCATTCGTAGAGGTCTTTAACTTGACCATACATTGCGATTTACAGCCACAGTTTGATATCCTCGGTTGAGCGACCATACGTGTAAACAGTGTTTTAATAGTGTTACATAATTATTAATTGAACCGAATTTTACAGCAATTTGGATACTTTTCTTTTTTACATTAATATCCAAAAATACAGCCTTACATTGCTAGACTCATCTAAATCAGATGTTTCGTCTTCAAGCGATGAACTCATGGCGATATAGCTTCTTTCGTTTTGTAAATTTAAAGAGTCAAACTCTTCGTTTGCCGCCATAGTAATACAATATTAAGTTGCGTGTAACCTGAGCCGCTTGTCATATCAATCAATCAACAGCGGTATTGTCGGTCACGTGGGGTGCTGCACTGTGCCTTTAAGAAGCAACAATAGCAAGCTTGTACTAGCGAAACCAAAAACCAATTCTTTGAAAAGAACATTCAGATATGCTGCTGCTAAAGTCTGGAACCAAAGTGTCAGCTAACTTAATAGTAACTGTATTTATTAAATTTTTTGAGAGGGCTTCACTGGGAGGGGGGAGGAGGGGTAGTTAGTTAAATAAATAGTAACTGTATCTTTTATACTTTTTGGGAGGGGTTCACTGGGGGAAGGAGGGGGCGTTGTAGTTTGTGTTCATCACGGCCTAATGAAAAGCAACCTTTCGATTTGTAAATATTTTAATACTGGTTGATTAGTCACCGTGTTTAAAGATGTTTTTAATAATAATAATAATAATAATAATAATAATAATAATAATAATAACGATTTTAAAATCTTTCACACAAGCGACTTTTTTTCAATCGGACAATAACGATAAATATTTTCACCAATCAGCGCATACAAGCTAGTTGTCGTTATCGTTGTGTGATGTGGTGTGACCAAGTTTTAATGCTGTCCGTACACAGGCTTGAAAATTAAAAAAATTAAAAAATGCGTGCCTTTTTTGTTGTCGTTTCAGTAGAAAAGCGCTGACTGAATATATATGCGGTTTTGAGCGGCAGAGCAAGTGAACACAAATTGGTTTTGCAAAAGCGATATGTCGAATTTGTGAAAGTCAAAACACCATGCAGGCCTGAACTTTTCACTCCTATATACAGTACTGCTCAGAAATAACCTAACAGAAAACGCGATTGGAACGCGTCTCGAACCCGGCCGGAACGCGTTCCTAAATGCGTTCCATTTGCGTTCCATTCGCGTTCCATTCGCGTTCCAATTGCGTTCCATTTGAGTTCCACTGTTACCGGAACGCATCTGCGGAACGCGTTCCGGTTGCACTCGTATCGAAACCGGACATCGTCGGAAACCATCGCGATTTCCCGAGTAGTAGTCAGCCTCAATTGCACATTTTGTGTTCACACTATAAACTATGAAACCGCGTTTTTATAATATTTGTTTCCACTATCGAGTCGCGAATCAAAATAACATATGATGTACACATCACGTACATGTATGTGCGTGCACGGTCAATACTCAGGGACAAAACAAAACACAATCTAGCTAATTTCTTTTATTCGCCATCAGGTTTCTGACGACCTTGTAGAAAATGCTCGCGCTTTTCACAAAACTCTAAAGGGCATCAAAATAAATAAAAGCAGTTTTGAAGGAATTTTAATGACTTTAACAGTATTGTCTAAAATTATGGAAATTATTGTCAAAAGTTATTCACTCACGCGTGTGTTGAATACGCTACTGAATTTCATTTCCTAAAGAGGTAGGCAAAATCATCATCAGACTAAACCCGGTTTACACTATCAAAGTTTCTGTGACCATAGGAGGAGTTCAAAATGAATAAACTAATACCGGAAAAAACACAAGGTAAGAAGGTCGTCCAGTTTATTAGCTATCCTGTAGACCAGAAATACAGATAATTTCAATCTTAACTCATGCAACAATAGTACGCAAGCGATGTTTATTGCTGATATGCGTGTATTCGCGTGCCTACAGTAAGGAAACATCATCCGATAAGTTGGTACGATTGTTAGTAAATGTATATTGCAAGCATGCACTTATTATAGAATCGACCCGAGATGTTGGGTAGTCAAAAATATCACAGTCACTAGTATTTTGACTAATTGTAAATGTTTATACTTTATAATCATGTGTAATGACTTAGTTATGCGTAAAAAATACACAAGCGGCGACAATTTATTATTATTATTATTATTATTATTATTATTAATGGTTTAAGATACACACCTTCGCAATAGATTGAATTATGGTGCGCTTACAAAATTGGTACGCTATATATTTAAATATATAAAAAATGTAGTTGCATGCATCAAGTCTAAAAATCTTATTGAATTGCATTAAAATCATCGTAATTAAGTATCACGCTTAAGTTTCTTTACTATAACTACTATATAGAGCTACTGTACTGGGAAAAAAGCTACGGCGATATCTTTCTGTTCGGCATTTTATTGTTGTTAATGTGTTAGAGTTTCTAAGTTCATAATCATTTGAACTAACCCTAGACAATGGAACATATTTTGATATATAATGATATATAAACGTTTAGAAGCCTTGGATACAACTGATTCTATGCGTGCATTCCATTTAAGATCGTTTTGGATAACCAGACCTAGGACTTTATGAGACCGCACAACCTCAAGCGCATGACCGTCGATCAACAATGGTGACAGATCAGGTGATTCCCGCAGAAAGCAAACGCGTAGTTCTTTGCACTTTTTGGGGTTAAGTTTCATAAGGTTGCACGAAGCCCAAGAATTTATAGTATCAATACAGAACTGAAACTTTGAATTGCTGCCCTTTGTGATATTTTCAGATGTTGATATGTCATCCACAAATTTCCAAATATCCGTTGCGTGTGGTTTCACATCGGGATCATTTATCATCGCCAAAAACAGAATTGGACCGAGTTTAGTTCCCTGGGGGACACCCGCATTCATTGGCAACCAGCCTGACGTTTTCCCTCCAAGTTTGACCCGCTGACGGCGGTTAGTTAGGAAGTTGATAATCCAAGGCAACAGGGACGATCTAACACCTAGGTCCAACAGCTTTAATATTAGTAAATTATGTTCTATACGGTCAAACGCCTTTTCGAAGTCAAGGAAACAAAGTTTAAGATGTTTTTCAGGACACTCTAAGTTGCACAACCAAGTGTGGATCATGTCTAAAAGACAATAAGTTGTGGATGTTCCTTTCAAGCATCCAAACTGCTTGGGGTCGATCTTGTCTTTAATATCGGTTATCATCCACCCGACCACGAAATCTTTAAGAACCTTAGCCAGGCAGGGTGTCAGTGAGATGGGTCTGGTGTCACCTTCACAGGTAGGAGGTTGTGATTTTGGAACTGGTATGATGTCTGAGTCTTTCCATATTGCAGGCACGATTCCAGATGAAAGTGATTCGTTGAAAATAGTTGCAACAGGTTCGGCTAATTCATGGGCAAACTCTTTCAGGATACGACAGGGGACGTTATCTGGGCCGTGAGCTTTAAAAGGTTTAATTTCTAAGAGCTTTTTAGATACTTCATGTGGTTGAACTGTCGGAGCAGGTAAAATAAATTGTAGCAAGTATGCTACATGATACTCTTGCTTCAGCACGTTTGATAGCGATCTATTTGATTGCTCGTGAGCAGTTTGAGCCGGCTGAGTTTTAGTCGCAACTATTTTCATCCCATGTTGTTAAATTGCTGGAATGTAGCCTGTGCACAAAACAAACCTTTCTAGCTCGGGTTGAAAGACTCGATCGCGATTTGAAGCATTTTCGGCTATTCGATTTGTGTGTTTATGGTTACATATACAGTTGAAACAAACACGCTAAAAAAGCCATTAAGGCGATTTTTTAAAATTATTTGTGATTACATGCTGCCCGGACTGTGTCGAGTTTCAGTCTGGGTCAAACCGGGCTGGTGCTTCAGCCTGGAATGAAGCTTGATATTAATATTATTATTATTATTATTATTATTATTATTAATTGCTACTTGTATTCGCACGTCGTATTATATATTCTGTAGACGAAACAAAGACTGGAACAACCCAGAACTTTTAAACTTTTAACTAAATTTAAAAGATTTTTACCTGTATATATATTTTAGCTTTTAACTCAATTCAAGTGGACATCGATAAGCTACCTTTTATTAAGTGAGGTTTATCAATGTATATATAGTATATCGTAAATATCTAATAAAAAGTTTCCATTATTATTATTATTATTATTATTATAAACAAACGCAAAAAAGCTAAATACAAAGATCCAATTAAAGATCAAAGGGGTCACTTTAATTCTGTCAAATTTGTAAACCTATCAATGAGCTCTCTCGCTGTGTTTGACAAAGAATGCTTCACCTTTTTAGAAATGTTAGACACTATAGGAATGGATAAAAAGCAGCAATATTACTGCATAAAAAAAATGACGTCTTATGCCATTAGAGCGACGTACTATATTTTTTGCTGTCGAAACAAAGAGTGGACAAACCCTGAATTGTTAAACATTTAAATTAGTAACTACATACAACAATATATATAATCATGTATCCATTTTATTCTTGTTTTTTACTGTAAATAGTACATATGTAGTACTCTGTGATTCATGTAGCCAATTGTAAATTACCTAAGTCAGTAGTGAGATTTACAATTGTATATATACGTTAGAAATTCAATTAAGTTTTCACTATTATTATTATTATTATTATTATTATTATTATTATTATTATTATTATTATTATTATTATTAATCAATTGATAAATTACATATCAAGTGTTACAAATCAATTATTTTAAAATATATTACAAGTTTTTAACATTAAAATTTTTTAGGTTATATTAGAGTTGCAAAGCTAAATTATATCTAAAAATACATCTAATGATGAAACTATTTTTAAAACGCTCGGTAGAAATGTTTGGTCACTGTGCCTCTTGTGTTCTAAGTTTAACTGTATATTCTTTAATTTTTGGACAGATTTCTCTTAACGGATGATTGTTTTGTTTACACAGCTTTTCAAACAGCTTTCTATCTGTCTGTTCTAACAGTATATTAATATCTATTTGTTCTGATGATCTTCTTTCATAACAACAATTTAAGAAGTTTTGAATAGTTTTTAACTCCGGTGGTGATGCAGCAATTACTGATAAGCCATAGGTAAGTTGTGACAGGACCAGTGACCTAAAAAGAAGATCTAATTCGTCTTGACTATATCCTTCATTCCTCAGTTTTCGAATTACAAACAAGTATTTATTTGCTTTCACCAACTTTTTCTTAACACATTTCTCAAATCTGCTTGTCATTTCAAAGGTTAGCCCCAGTATTTCAAGACTAGAATGCCGTTCAAACCCATAAAGTGGTGATACACAATCCTCTGATCGTCCTTTCTTTAATATAATCATTTCTTTACATTTACCCTCATTTAAAGGTAAAGAGTTTGATTCGAACCAGTCCTTAAATTCATCTATGGCTTTAGAACTACAATCTTGGGTATTCTTCAAATTCGGTACCAAAAGTAAGGAATCATCCGCGAATTTAACAAGGGGGGTGTTGGAACAGTTCTCCAAATCCTTAATAAATAAATTAAAGAAATGTGGTCCGGTCACAGTTCCTTGCATAACTCCCTTCTTAATATCTTTCCACTTGCATGTCGTTCCTTGGAAAACTATTCTCTGTCTTCGATCTTTTAAGAAATTTAAGTAGGCTACCAATTTACTAAATAAGGGTTCATAGAACTCGATTTCAATTTTTCACTCAGTTTTGCGTGTTTTACATTGTCAAATGCTATGGAATAGTCCATTGCAATTAATCTCACTGCATCACAATTTGGTTCTTCTAGTTCTTTCAGGTACATATACTATAATTTAATTAAGGCGTCTGTGCTACACCCAGGGATTCGATAAGCAAACTGGGAAGATGATAACTTAGCCTCGAAAGATATTTCACTATGATAATGATAAACCGTTCTTTCGAAGCATCGTCCAATCACAGGTGTGACGTTTATACCTCTAAATTCACAATATTCCTTTGGATTCTCGACTTTTGGTAAAGGATCTATATGAGCAATTTTCCAAGAGGTAGGCTATGTGGATGTAGAGAGAGATTCATTCCAAATCTTGGTCATAACAGGTGCAAATACGTCAGCGTTTTCTTTCCATACCTAAAATGGAATTTCATAAGGGCCTGTTGCCGTTTTCCTTATTTTCAACAAAGCGTTCTTGACCTGGGTTCTGCTAAACTGAGCAGCTTTTATTGTGATTGAATCTATCTCCATCAACGTTGGCTGTTCATAGTCTCTATCCAAACATAAATCTCTAAAGTAATCGTTCAAGTTTTCTTTAAACTCGTTGTCAAGTATAATATGTGCTCGATTTCTTCTATGCGACAAAAAGTCAACATTTTTCCACTATTGACTTGTGCCAGTACACTCGGACTTTGCCATTTTTGTTCGATTATGTGAAATTATTCCAGATATTCGTTCTGTTAATTCTGCCGCAATAGATAGCTATCTCCTTGACTTAGCCTTTGATCTTTTCTTATTAAATACTTTAAAAGTGGAGACATCCATGGAGGGTCACAAATGGAAAGAGTAACTGTTTTCTTTGGAAAACATTGATCTATGATATAATGGATAGTATTCTCCAATACTTTAGTTGCTTCTTCAACTGTTTCCCATGACGTAACTTCAGACCAACTTTTCTCGGCAAGCTTCTTTTGAAATTTGACTTTATTCTGTGCTCTGTAGTCCCTAAAGCTGATTTTAGTGCGGAGGGGCTTCAATTTTATTCCTGCCGGAATTATGACCCCCAAGTGGTCTGTTTTCATTTGTATATCATATCCAATGGGTATGCTTTGTTGAAAAGTTCCGGTCTATTTGTAAAACAGTTATCGAGAATTGCTTGCCCTCTGGTGGGAAAGTCTACCAAAGGCAATATGCCAGACATTGTGGAAAGTTGAATAACGTTTAGATGATTAATGTCTCCACCAAAGAGAACTATGTAAGAGACTTAGGGTCTAAAGGCTTCCGCGGGATATTAAATTTGTTCCTTTTTAATAATAAATGATAAAATATACGCAAACATATAGACTTATACAAACAATAATTTTACTGAGTCCGCCATCTTGAATATTCTCTCCTCGTGGTCGCCACTATATTGTTCTTACATAACGTTCTACTTCTAACTCTCTCACAAACTAAGCCATTTGGGTTAATATCTAAAAACTCGTCAACAACTTCCACAATTCGATTCAAAAAATCTGTTTCATCATAACTAATCTTGGAGGGTGACAGGCTCCAATAACTAACATTTTATGTCCCGTTGGGAGAGTAAGTATAGTACTAATCATATCAAATTCTGTTTCCCGAATGACACAAATTACTTCCAAGTTCTGTCGAAGATATACTGCAATTCCTCCATTTTTTCGTGTATCTGCATTACTACGCTATAGGTTATATGATGCCATTGCGAGTCTGGAATTTTATTGTTTAAATGGGTTTCCGACACGACACATATGCCATAGTTGCCAACTGTCAAAACATACAGTAGCTCATGTTTCATTCGGTGCAGGGATTTTCCGTTGCGAGAACGCGGTTTTTAGCCAAAATTGGGAACGCGTTTCCAAGTTTCCTCAGGAACGCGTTCCAACCGCGTTTTGAACGCGTTCGAAACGCGAACGCAGTGTTAGGTTATTTCTGAGCAGTACTGTATGCATTTCTGGTAGCACATTTGTTGAAGCATGTGGTCAGTATTTTTCACTGAAATATATGTTTTTTGTGTGTTTCTTACCAGATTTTTCAGTTATCGTATTGATCCGTGTTCATGTTTGACAATTCAAGTTTTGCAAGCCTACATGCCCTAGAAGTTTTTATTTCAGACTCTCCACGTCACTTGCAAGAAATTTTCATGTGTTTTGTATCGGTAAAAAACGTGACGTATTTATAACAATTTGATATAGGTACCGCTGGTGACTCATTAGACAGACAAGATGGCATGCAGTTCTCAACGAGAGATGCTGATCATGACATTGGATACGAAGGTGTGGAAAATTGTGCTCAAACGTTCCTCGGAGCTTGGTGGTATAATGACTGTCACTTGAATGGTTTCTATTGACTTCCAATTTGAATGGTTTCTATTTTCATGGCCACCACATTTCTTTTGCTGATGGCATCAATTGGTATCACTGGAAAGGTTATTCTTACTCCATGAAAAAGACAACGATGAAATTGAAAGAAATTTAAAGAATCAAAATTTGAAGAAAAAATGGTTGCCGAACACGTAATAAACGAATGATTTAAAATAACTTCGTACACTTAACACTTGTAGACAAATAGAAATTAAGTAAAAACTGGTGTAAATAATGCAAAATAAATTTCATTTGTGTAAACAATATTTATCTTGTCGCTGTTTTTCCCATTTCTTCATACAATAGCAATAAACATATTTTACCAGGTGTATGGGAAAGATTTTTTGGGGTTTCAAATTGAGGCATTGGCAAGACACTTTGGAACTACATTAATATTATTACTGTTATCGATGCATCAGTGCCAAGTTGACATAGGGGACGAGTCATTATTTATGGAAGGGGAGGAGAGGAATTTTTGTTTCCTAAAGTTTTAAAATTGAAAACCCCTCCCCCCTTAAAAGAACAAAAATTTAATGATGACCACCCCTGCATATTAGAATATTTTTCTTTGACCCCCACCCCTTTTCATTTTTACTCGTCAAATGGGGATACCCAGGAGTTATAGTGTTAATTATTAAATAAGAATATGGAACTAACATGACAAAATATTAACGTCGACCAAAAATATATATTAGCAGAAAATTATAATTGAAGGAGGAGTATTTTTATGTATAACACTAAAATCAGGTTTCCATTTGGTCTGGGCGATTGTAACCATGTTTAACGGCAGAGTATTAGTGTTTGAAGGCAGGTGCCGTTTGTGGTCGAAGGCTGCAACTAGACTTGAAGGCACGAAGTATTGCCATAGCAACTGCGCAGCAACAATGAGAGTAACAATCAGTAATATTAGCAGCAAAAGGAGCAGTGGCGGCGCCAGGCTTCCAAATTTGGGGGGGCTTTGAGGGGCAAACTCAAATTTTAGGGGGCAAGATCGAATTTTTAAAAAGGTCCCCCCCCCAGGAAATTCGTCCCCCCCCCCTTAAAACGTGGCGATATTCCTAGGAATATCGCCCCCGTGGGCGAATATCCTGGGAATATCGCCTCCCAGGGGGTGGGGCGAATACCCTAGGAATATCGCCCCTCTTTAGGACATTCGCCCCCCATATATGCGATGTGGTTTATTCAAATAATTTCGTGATACTTTCATCTTATTATTGCTTTACACGTTTGAGAATTTAACTCTGCAAAACTAAAGCTTTTTTGTCTTTTTTTGAAACGTATTATTGGAGTATTGGCAAGTTTTACCATTCAGAGATTTACAAACTAATATTGAAACTGTAAAAAACAGTTTCATGTATATACGCGCATTCACAAATGAGTAATGACAACTTATAAGCCATACATTTTCCGATAACGACAGAACACTTGTGTAGCCTTTAGTCTCTCTTAGTGACTAATAATTTTTTTGAGGGAATGGGGGGGCAAAAAATAATTGGGAGCGCATTTGCCCCCCCCCCCTTGCCCCCCCCTGGCGCCGCCACTGAAAAGGAGATAGCCATGCATGACAATTCTGCCGGCCAAGGCATATCTCCGGCACCAGCCACACTGACAAGTCAGTGGAAACGAAATACAATGTATGGTGGTTTATACATCCTCTTTTATGTGAGATTAAAAACTATAAAAAATAAAATGAAATACTACCAGATAAAATTCTCTAGAATAAACATGGGTGGGTGGGAAAAAGGTGTTGAAGCGCTAAACTTGCTGCAGCTAGGCAAAGTATACAATGGCAAAATGAATACGCAGTCCGAAGCACTGATCACAAGGCCCGAAACAACCCCCTTTGATCGATATGACGTCACAGACTCCTCTCAGCGGATGTGGCCTTCTTAACCTTGCTTAAACGTATTTGTATATCTCTGCAATCAGTAAAGACTGATTTGCATACAGCAGACAGAAGACAAGATAAATCCAAACTATTTCACATCAGTGAGTCAGTGACCATGATTTAGTAGTAACATTTAAACCCAAATGGTACCAGGCTTATTGCAAATTCCTTCAAACTTAATTGCACCCCCCTCCCCTCTCATTTTCTTGAAAAAATCTAATAGCCCCCCTTCTAGTCATTTTTTATACATATGGCCACCCCGCTTATTTCTTATCTCCCCCCATTCCATAAATAATGACCGGTCCCTAGTCGCAAACAATATATATCTACTGAAAATATTGAAGCATCCAGGGCGGTAGGCTGCCCGAAAAGAGTTGGATATTATTATCGTTTAGTTCTACACTGCAAAAAATGAAATTCTTGAAACAAGAAAAACCCCGAAAATATTTCTTGAAACAAGCTATATTTTCTTGTTCCCTGGTAGGAAAATTTTTCTTGTCCACATTTTCACAACAAGAAAGTTTTTTTTAATATGAGTAAAAAATCTTTCGGAAACCAAAATAAACAATCTTGCTTAGATTATTTTACTTTTTGTCCCATGCACAAGAAAATATTTCTTATTAAGAAACGCTTTCTTATTTAAAGAAAACAAATCTTGTTAAACAAGATAAATAATCTTACTAAGAAAATTTTACTTTTTGTTCCATACACAAGAAAATATTTCTTATTAAAGGCTGATTTCCACTGTTGCGTTTTTCATACGTACGTATACGCACATAAAACTTTAACTCCGCGTTTAAATGTTACTTATGAAATAACCAAATAAATAAAGCAACAAAATTTACTGCTCCGCAAGTTTTAGTATGCATTTGTTAACTTATTTGTAAAATTAACATTTAAAAAATAGACCTAATTAAGAAAGCTTTTCGTAATAAGAAAAATTTTCTTGTGTTATGGGACAAAAAGTAAGATTTTCTTAGCAAAATTATTTATCTTGTTTGGCAAGATTTTTTCTTTAAATAAGAAAGCGTTTCTTAAAGCTGATTTCCGTTGTTGCGTTTTTCATACGCACGTACAGGCATGTAAAATATTGAATCATATTATAGGGAAAAAATCAGTTAAAACAATGAAGTAAATAGAAAATACAAATTTAAACTATAACTATTTTTTTATTTTAAAACAATTGTCTATATTACAAGCAGTATTTTAATTCTATTGAATCATCTCAACATAGTTTATATCAGTCACAATCCAAATTAATGTTCATGTTACCGGTATAGGTTATTTGAAACCAATAGAATCTTTGCTGAATAGTACTTTAACACAGTCGAATAGGAACACATCACTATGTTGTAGCGCACAAAATCCACAAATGTTTTGCTGTAACTGTCCTTCGTTATACATTAATGGCCAACACGATCCCTTGAAAAGATAATTATTTTGCATTAGAGAATATTATTGAGAGTGCACTGTACCTTTGATGGGTTTATGAGGCCAATGAGGAACTTTGAAACAACTTATAGAACTAGTCCAATCTAATCATTTCTTGGTGACGTGTCAAAGTAAATATTTTAGATTTGGGCAGAAAGTTTGGCTAAACTATCAACAGATAACACTTTTGAGGGCAAGTCGAGTGGTTTAGGGCATATTTCAATTTAACAGGGCACATGGGCAGATAGACTGATTAACTAATTAACCAGAAGAGTAAACTTTTCTGGCCTTAACGTCTTCAGTCACTGTAAATAATAAACATAGTACCGTATATTTGGACACTTTAAGTTTTATTGACTGCGAAGTTCTTCCTGTCATTTAAAAATAATATATGATCCAGTTTTTGGCTGCATAATATGGTAGATTATTCGGCGTATCTGCTATTTGGCTGGATATAGTAAAATGCTCTATCTGATGCATCCCTAATGTACTGTATAATAAACTCATTCTTATTGTAGTGGCAGGGAAATATTATTTGCAATTTTCTGTGGAGAG